TGTTAATTTTTAATCAGTTGAAAATTAAACTACTTTTTCGGATCTAAAGGTGACTTCAATACAAATTTTGTCGAATTTCCTTTGAATTTTGTCGATCGTTATTATGGTGCGTTTGGACAACGAATAAATGCCTACAGAATTGCTCGATTTTTGACGATCGTTGTGGATAAATATCAAGGTTAAAAAGAAACAAATTCATAGGCCCCTACGCCTTATGAATCATCTGAATCGGTTTTGATGATTCTTTTTTTATTGGAAAAAAGTACCACAGCATTGGTCCTATTTTTGATTTTAAGAAAATATTCCACCTCTAAGGGTGACAAACTAGAGGATGAATCCGGTTTCTCGCACTTTTCGGTACCCGATTTCACTAAAACTTGGCAGATATAAGTAATTCCACGAACTTTTGAGGACGAATACAATGTCGATACTAAGTGTTTATTGAGACCGGCGATGTTAAATGTTTGTCTAAAAAATCCTATTTCATTCAGCTCTAAATTATAGGTACTTTTTGACAAAAACTGAAGCCGGTGGTACATTCTTTTCTTTAAGAAAGCAAAGCCTTCTGTGCGAATGGGTGGTACAACATCTTCTTCTTCTTTCTTTCGTCTTGTACTTTTTAGTAAGTTTTATTATTAATTTGCGTTTTCTGTTTGCTTTATCAAATATTACAAATAAAGTAAAATAAAACAAATACTTTTTTTCATACTAAACACTCTGTATAGTGCTTACGTCAGAGTAAAATTACTATATAAAAGTTTTAGATTTCCTAAGAAATGCCATAATTACATCACTGTGGTCTTGAAGCATTGCAAGCAAAATGAGATCTTCAGCGCTGGTACTGCTGTGCGTAGTGGTGAGTCTGTGTTCATTTTCAACCACAATCGATTAAATATTTTTGGTTTAATCGCCATAAAATTATTTATCAGCTATGCCAACCGCAAATATTGAATCAGATCACATACCAATGTCCAGACTTTAATTATCCTAACACGTAGTAACTGGAGGCTAAGTTTCCACCCCCATGTTGTGGATACTCCAAAGATATGCACAAAGCGTTAAGCTTCCGCATTTGTGTGGCGAACAGCTATGGAGTGAAAATTCCTGCCTGCAGACTGAATTCATGAACGCTACATCTTGGGTCATTTGAAGGCGAGAGTGAATAGGCATTACTTAGGTGTGCCTGCTTATCGTCGACCTCAACGTTGCTTTCCATCTGTAGATCTATCGCCTAGACCTCTAGGTTTTTATAAAAAAATAATACCTCTCGCCAAAGGAAAAGAAAAATATAATAATGAAATTGAAGAAGGTTGATTTAGAAACAAGTGAAGTAACCAACCTCATAGGGTTAGCGCGTCGCATAGCAGTGGGACGTATACAATAACATGACTTTGAATTCCAGATTTGCGTTGCATACGCAAGTTGCAACGAAAGCTCATCTTCGATACGCGAGAGACGTCAAGTCGACTTCTTGTCGAGTCCTCATCTCACGTAACTTCCATCGCCAGGCCTAACGCCAGTTCAAAAGTTAGTTCCCTTAGTTATTACTTAAAGAAAAACATATCATTTACAAGAATTCTTTAGTCCTTAATGCAAAAATTGGGGAATGGAGACGGTAGCAATGGTCGCCGAGGACTTAGCTCAATATTGAACACGTCCTCCAAAACCTCTAGGTCAATAGTACCGAGGAAAACGGTAGGTACGAATAGTGGAAAAGTGTGAGGTATGTGAGGAGCGTAACTGGAAAGGTCCATAGTATCTTCATTCCCGGTGGAAACTGGCGTGTTGGTATATTATGTCATATCCATGCTAACAGATTTGATCTCTTGACAGACATATGTCATCATTTACATTGAATCAGTTTATAGATGTACGAATTTTAAAAATTGTTATGTTATTTCAATGAAAATTATTATTTCGGTGACAAAGCGGTTAGCACTGTGAATGCTAGATGAGGAGGTCCTGCACTCGATTTCTGGTTTTGGGAACTTGGTACATTGGTTCTAGTCTTTGTGTTTTGTAAAGTTCTTCGATGTTAATTTCGTTGTTTTGACACCTATATCACATCACAGGGTTTTCTAGGTTTAGACCAGGTTGGTGTGGTTTTCTGGTACATTACTATGATATTTATTCTAAATTCTCACCTTTTCCATGATATACAACAAACATTTTGACATTTTAAATTGAAGACGCGATGTACTCAGGCAAGAACACAGTCGGCCGGGGTCAGGGGCCCACGTTCATGAACTGTAGGACTTGCGTACACGACAGGGTGCCACTTGAGAGCGACATAAAGCGCGTGATCTTCATGTGAGAATTGCAGTATCTTGCGTTTCCTGTTCGTGGGACAGGTAAAGTCGCGTCTTAGTTTGTCGTACCGTCGTTTAAGATACAATATTCCTAGTTCTACGTCTTGATAATTTGGTTGGGTATAGACCAAACCTTTGATTTCCCTAATAAGGTTCCCGAGACCTTATATTATATATTGCTATCCAGGAGCTACTTTTAGTCAAATTATTACACTGTTAAGTGATTGCAACTTTGATAAATATACAACAGTGATTCTTATATTAGGTGATAGTACTAACATTAGTAAAAAAGAAGTAAATAGTAGCATTGACGTGTTCTTGAGAATTCATGAGAAGTGTGGGTGTAAATTCATACTAAGTGCATTCCCTTACTGCTCTAACCTAGGCATCGCTCGTAATAAGTATATATATAACATAAATTCGCATATTCATAATTTGACTTGCCGTCATAGTGACGTTATATTTTGTTTTGACATTAAAAAGTTCGTAAGGAACTTCAAACTTTTTGAGGATAATTTACTTTTACCCCTAAGGTATCTAAGACATATAGCTAGTTTGCTATCTTTTAATATTAAGGACGCTGTTATAGAAGATATAACACAGTCCCACGACAATGCTCCTACTTTAAGTAGCAATCGTATACTTTTTACTAACCATAATTTAAACTGAAAAACGACAACAGAAAAGTCTAATCGTTTCCATGTAGTACATCAAAATATTCAAGGCTTTTCTGGCAAAACATTAGAAATAAGTCTTTTTTTGCACGATATTTCCGTTGACGTGTTTTGTGTTACAGAACACTGGCTGAAAGATTACGAAGCCATTAACAATATAGAAAATTATGTAATAGTCAGTTCGTTTATAAGAAAGAGCTTAAGTAGAGGCGGATCCATGATTATTATTAAGCGTAACTTAAAATTTAAAGAGCGTAAGGATATCACAAATCTTTCTACTGAACGAACTATTGAAATTTCATGTGTGGAATTGGATCAGTTTGTCGTCTTATGCGTATACAGGCCCCCTCTGCTAATTTTAACGAGTTTGAATTAATTATGGAAGACAGTTTGAAGCGGATTTTTCCAACCAAAAAAAACGTAGTAATATGTGGAGATTTCAATGTAAACCTGTTGGAAAACTGTTCTACTTCTGTAAGACTCATTAATTTATTTCAAAGTTTTAACTTGATTAATCTTTTTTTAGAACCAACTCGCATTACTGCCTCCTCTTCTACTTGTATTGATAACATCTTTTGTAACACAGACGCAGTGTCTAAATCAATAATAAATTGCTTAAGATCCGACCATAGTGGCCAATTGGCTTCTTTTAATTGTAAAATGAGCAAGAAGGTAGACCAATTTCTCTGCAGACCGATTACCACAGAACGAATAATTAGATTTCAAAATAATATCGGCAATAGTTTAAATTCCCTATCCCATATACCGGAGGATCCAAATACTTTATATAACACGATATTTGGTTTAATTAAAAATGAATTTGACAATATATTTAAATCGAAAACATTAACTTTCCATAGAGAGACTAAATTCAACGACTGGGCAACAGTAGGTATTCATAAGAGTAGGTCTCGTTTGTATGAGCTATATGCTATGAAAACTTATAATAATAATTCCAATTTCATAGAATATGTTAGAATTTATTCGAAAATATTTAAAAAAGTTTGTGTAGCTGCTAAGGTTAAGTTTCAGCGACAAAATTAGACAATCGATAAATAAATCTAAAACTACTTGGAGCATAATAAATAAAGAGTCAGGCAGGGTTAAACCACAGGATAGAGATATAGTTTTAGAATTAGACAGCAAACTTATAAAATGTAAAGATAAAGTAGCCCAAGCTTTTGAATCGTTCTTTTCGGAAATTGCTGTGAACACTACAAAATCATTAAATTCCTCCCCTTCACTTGCTATTGATCTCTTAAAGGAAAATGTTAACATTTGTGGCAGTTTATTTAATTTTCGTCATGTTAATCCACAAGACATCATAAAAGCTTTTAAGTCAATACATGTTAAAAAAACTGAAGATCTCTGGGGCATATCAACTAAAGTTATAGACTCAGTTATTAATCCCATTTCCCCACATTTAGCTGTAGCTTTCAATAGGTGCGTTGACGAAGGTGTTTTTCCGGATTTAATGAAATACAGCAAGGTTATTCCCTTATTCAAAAGCGGTGGGAAAGTTGATCCTAGCAACTATAGGCCCATTTCAATTTTACCAGCTCTAAGTAAAATATTCGAAAAGGTTATGCTAACTCAATTACTGTCCTATTTCGGCAGGAATCATATTTTTCATAGTGAACAATACGGGTTTACTAGAGGTAGATCGACTAGCGATGCGGGGGTAGCGTTACTAAAACACATCTTTGATGCTTGGGAAAGGTCCCAGAACGCTATTGGTGTTTTCTGTGACCTCTCAAAGGCATTTGATTGCGTTGATCATAATACTCTTATTAGGAAGCTGGAACATTACGGTGTAAATGGCAAGGCATCGAAACTTGTCTCGTCATATCTCAACGGTAGAATTCAGAAAGTAGACATGAATGGAGTGACTTCTTTGGGTTCTCCAGTAAAAATGGGTGTTCCGCAGGGCTCAATACTTGGACCTTTCTTATTTCTGATTTATATTAATGATCTGCCATTCTTTGTTAAGGACCATTGCGAAATAGTGTTGTTTGCTGATGACACATCCTTGATTTTTAAAACAGACAGACATAACAATAACTATGACCGTATTAATGATACCCTCTCTAAGGTAGTTTATTGGTTTAATGCTAACAATTTATTGCTTAATGCCAAGAAGACAAAATGTGTTAAATTTGAATTACCTAACGTAAAATCGACTAGTCCAACCATAGAAATAAACGGAGAAAAGTTAGACCTTGTTAATAAAGCAGTCTTCTTGGGAGTGACCTTAGATAGTAAACTTCAGTGGTTTCCACATATATCGTCCCTGGCCAGCAGATTAAGCTCCGCTGCATACGCAGTCCGCAGAATACGTGAGCTTACCGATGTTAGTACTGCTAGACTAGTTTACTTTAGTTACTTCCATAGTATAATGTCCTACGGGATTCTCATGTGGGGTAAAGCGGCAGATATTCAAACCATATTTGTACTGCAAAAACGAGCGATTCGTTCTGTGTACCGTCTAGGCTCTCGGGTATCTCTCAGAGAAAAGTTTAAGGAGACTGGTATCATGACTGTGGCATCACAGTACATTTACTCAAATATTTTATATGCCCGTAAAAATATACATAATTTCAATAAGAAAGAAGATATCCATAATATTAACCTTAGAGCTAAGTCCAAACTCATGGTACCACGATTTCGTTTAACCAAGGTAAACAACTCTTTTATGGGGAACTGTATACGTTTTTACAATAAGATTCCGGAGCATATATTAAGTTTATCATTTCCTAAGTTTAGAAACTACATTAAAAATATTTTGATCGAAAAATCATATTACAAAATTGAAGACTACGTGTTAGATAAAGATGTATGGAAAGACGACATGGCTCCAGAATCCACACAAATTTGATTAAAAGTGTATTCTACTATTATTGCTCTTTTCAAATATATATATTAAGTTTATTTGAAAAGAGCAATCCCTAGAGTTTCTTGCTCGTTCTTCTCAGGGAGGTCAGCGTAGTGAACGAGCAGTAGCTTAAATGTGACGTTTTCAAGTGTAAATTTATTTTACCTATGGAATAAATAATCTTTGACTTTGACTTTGACTTTGACTTAGTCCGGGAATACATTGAAACCTTCTGTTATCTTTGCACACAACTTCCAGGTCAGAGATGCAAAATTTTACCGAGTCTCTCCAATCATTCAATCACGTAGCGGTAGAGCTCCTTGTGAAAGAGTCCGTCCAGGGAAGTATTGTCACTTTACCTATTTCTGCCTCCAATTAGTAATGTGAGCATTACTGGGTTCCGATTTTGATCGCTCAGATCTTTGCCATTGAAAGTTCTGAGTGGCAGTGCAACTGCTATAAATAGGCGTGGCGTACCATTAAAATAATATTCACTCACTTAATAACGTAAAAAAATATTCTCTGGTCAACTACAGTTAGTCCTTTATTACAAGTGATAACCTCTCCATGAATGCTGTCAATCCACATCGTCAAGAAGTAGTTTTAGTACAAATAAATACAATGAGTTTAAAAAAAACGTATTTTTGCTAATCAAAACAGTATACTTAAACGCCTCACTGTGTTCTTGAACAGAATAATTTCACAATATTTGTGGAATTTTAAAATTAATAATATTATATTTTATTACTAATATGTCAAATGTTACATCACAGGTACAAAGGCGTACCTATTTGCAAAAAAAATATATTTAAAAACAGTATAAAATATGACGCTACTCAAACGCTCTACTGCCTCCCGATTGGTTAAAATATAAACGATACTTGGCCAATCACGATCACTTCTATCTATCTCTTTGATTTTTGTTTTGTAGGTTTGTTTGCCTTTTGTTTGGGTTTTAGTCGTAAAATTGTTAACAAATAATATTTATTTAAACATTGGAAGCGTTTCCTTATTTTAATTTAGTCTTTAAAAAAGTGTTGTATGCAATCATAACATAATTAGGTCTTCAAATCTCGTACCTATTACTGAGGCTTAAACACGGTACTCGACTTCAAGAACCTTCATTATGCAACGGTTGCCTAAAGTACTACTTCGTCTAATGGTTTATTGGTATTTTACTTTACAGGGACTTGATTAAAGCCTTGGTCGAAGCTATGAAGAAAACGACAGCGAATGCTGGAGCCGTTCTTAAAAAATTGTCTGAATTCGACGCTGTGTTGAATGTAATGAAAAAGAAAACCGATGCAGTTCTGGGCGGTGTAAAATATGGTTATGAAAGTGTCAGTACTCAGGTAAAGGTGAATTCTGTCGCTGTTGAGTTACATACAGTTTTACACAAGTTAATACAATAACGATATTAATGGTAATGGAGTAATTTTAAAGGGGATGACCTTCACCTGTAGATCGGCACATTTATCAATTATAAAAATGGAACATTGGACAACAGTCTTTTCTTTAATTGATGCTCCTTTTTCCTTTAAAACGGTACTTTGTTTACAATATTTTGTCAAATGAACGTGGCGTACTGATAACGCAGGTGGTGTATAATAGGAACCTATAGAATTAAAAGCAGTTGCTGTATTGATTCTTTTTTAACAATTTGATAAAAAAGAAATTTCTCTTTCTCAAAATTTGTCATGGATAGTGGGATTTTGGATCGGGAAACAAAACTGTATTTTAATAAACGTAAATATCTGGCCCTGACTTCCTATAAACTCGACTCGAGACTCGAGTATAAACATAGATGTTCTAACATAAAGGTGTCTGCAAAATATCTGAATAAATTTATATAAATGTTCAATATTAAATTTCTAAATCGATATATGTACAATTAATTTCATTTCGTTAATAACACAATAGTTTTTACGCATACTTTCATGTACATACACAATTTTATCAAAAATCTTGTCTAAAATTACGTTTCTGAAGCATCGTGAAATCAAAGTCAAAATAACATTTGTTCTTACAAACTAATCAGAATCACTGGTATCATAAGTCTGACAATAGAACCTAGAGTGGTAATTGAAAATGAATTTAGTGCATTAGACCGAAATATGATTTTACAACGCGTAAAGTTAAGTTGACCCCATTCGAGTAATTAAAGGTTAAATGACTTCAATAATACAAAAGTTGAAGATTCGGTATTACCAGGCTTTAAACAAAGCGAACTGAAAGTTCCAGATTTAAATTTATCCAAAGTTTGAGTCTGCAGATAATTTACGATATCACAGAAAACAGTATAGACTGGAACAAAAATCTTCAGCTGAAATGCCGAAAAAAAATGCTGAAAAAGACATCCGGATCGAAGGAATGAATGTTCAGGGTGGTGAAATATCCTGACATTCGATAATAACTTTAGCTGAAAAGTTGAGTGGGTTGAGAGTGTACGATGGAATTACACAATTTAATTCAGCCTTTCCATTATTCCGGGGCGTAGTCGTAGGCTTGGGTTCCACCCCTAGGTTGTGGATATTCCAAAGATTCGCACGAAGCGTTACGCTTCCATATTTATATGGCGAATGGCTATGGAGTGGAATTCCCTGCCTGCAGACTTGTTCCTTGAATGTTACAACTTAGTCTTTAACAAGGCGAGTGTGAATAGGCATTATTTAGGAGTGCATGCTCCATCGGCGACCTCATCGTCACTTTTCATCAGGTGGTATGGAGGTCAAATGCGCACTTACATTTGTATAAAAAGAAAGCTGAAAATTGTTGGTTAGTCAGGTTTACCATACCTTTCACACCCTTACATGTACCGTCATAAATGAGTGTTTATTTTAGAGATTCTCTTATGCGAACGAATGAGGAAACGCCTTTTCCCGTTATGAATTAGTACCTGAGGAAATCAACTTTATTCCTGCACGATACGGCGTCAGCTGCTAATGCAATTAGTTCAGTAGATTACTGGATGCTGAAGCTGTTGAAAGTTATCTAAGTAAAAATATGAAAAAAAAGACAGCGACTGGAACGCAATAAAGAATTCATATTGAAGAACATTTTATTTGTGTAAAAATTTATCTTGTCACATTCTTGGGCCAAATGTCTCAATGTAAACAAATTAAAGTTATACAAGAGAAATATTTGTTAGCAGCACTCTCGAAAAGTTTCATGTTTGTCATGTAAGAAAATAAAGCCTCCTTTGTCTTCTGAGCCTAAGCGCCTTTACATTTATAGCGAAACATTTGAGAGCTGCTAGAAAGATGGCGCATTAATTAATTTGGATTATTCTTGTTTGGAGATTAAATTATTTTAACTAGAGTTCAGGGTTCCGAACAACTACACTTTAGTGTTGTCAATGCGAAGTATTTTTCGTTTTATAGATGCAATATTTTTGAGACTATCCTAATATTATTTGAAGGAGGTTACCACACGTTTCAACGCGTAATCGGTTTGTGCCAATAAGAAAAAAGTTTAAAAGTTCTGGCTTGTGCTGCCGAAGCTGCACGCTGTCTTTTTGGGTGTTATGGCATGGAGATAAGTAAAACCTGTCAATAATAGCTTCGCAATTAACTTATTATGTATTCTGAAATAATGTTAAATTTGTGCTGTCACCATTGTCACAGGAATTCGAAGAAATTGCTGAAGTTTCTTACCTACCGTTTTCCTCGGTACTATTGACCTAGAGGTTTTGGAGGATGTGTTCAATGTTGAACTAAGTCCTCGGCGACCATTGCTACCGTCTCCATCTCAATTTTTGCATTAAGGACTAAAGAATTCTTGCAAATGATATGTTTTTCTTTAAGTAATAAGGGAACTAACTTTTGAACTCGCGTTATACCTGGCGATGGAACTTACATGAGATGAGGACTCGACAAGAAGTCGACTTGACGTCTCTCGCGTATCGGAGATGAGCTTTCGTTGCAACTTGCGTATGCAACGCAAATCTGGAATTCAAAGTCATGTTATTGTATACGTCCCACTGCTATATGTGCTTCAGGAGAGGGTTTAGGCCCATAGTACGACGCGCTAACCCTATGAGGTTGGTTACTTCACTTGTTTCTAAATCAACCTTCTTCAATTTCATTATTATATTTTTCTTTTCCTTTGGCGAGAGGTATTATTTTTTTATAAAAACCTAGAGGTCTAGGCGATAGATCTACAGATGGAAAGCAACGTTGAGGTCGACGATAAGCAGGCACACCTAAGTAATGCCTATTCACTCTCGCCTTCAAATGACCCAAGATGTAGCGTTCATGAATTCAGTCTGCAGGCAGGAATTTTCACTCCATAGCTGTTCGCCACACAAATGCGGAAGCTTAACGCTTTGTGCATATCTTTGGAGTATCCACAACATGGGGGTGGAAACTTAGCCTCCAGTTACTACGTGTTAGGATAATTAAAGTCTGGACATTGGTATGTGATCTGATTCAATATTTGCGGTTGGCATAGCTGATAAATAATTTTATGGCGATTAAACCAAAAATATTTAATCGATTGTGGTTGAAAATGAACACAGACTCACCACTACGCACAGCAGTACCAGCGCTGAAGATCTCATTTTGCTTGCAATGCTTCAAGACCACAGTGATGTAATTATGGCATTTCTTAGGAAATCTAAAACTTTTATATAGTAATTTTACTCTGACGTAAGCACTATACAGAGTGTTTAGTATGAAAAAAAGTATTTGTTTTATTTTACTTTATTTGTAATATTTGATAAAGCAAACAGAAAACGCAAATTAATAATAAAACTTACTAAAAAGTACAAGACGAAAGAAAGAAGAAGAAGATGTTGTACCACCCATTCGCACAGAAGGCTTTGCTTTCTTAAAGAAAAGAATGTACCACCGGCTTCAGTTTTTGTCAAAAAGTACCTATAATTTAGAGCTGAATGAAATAGGATTTTTTAGACAAACATTTAACATCGCCGGTCTCAATAAACACTTAGTATCGACATTGTATTCGTCCTCAAAAGTTCGTGGAATTACTTATATCTGCCAAGTTTTAGTGAAATCGGGTACCGAAAAGTGCGAGAAACCGGATTCATCCTCTAGTTTGTCACCCTTAGAGGTGGAATATTTTCTTAAAATCAAAAATAGGACCAATGCTGTGGTACTTTTTTCCAATAAAAAAAGAATCATCAAAACCGATTCAGATGATTCATAAGGCGTAGGGGCCTATGAATTTGTTTCTTTTTAACCTTGATATTTATCCACAACGATCGTCAAAAATCGAGCAATTCTGTAGGCATTTATTCGTTGTCCAAACGCACCATAATAACGATCGACAAAATTCAAAGGAAATTCGACAAAATTTGTATTGAAGTCACCTTTAGATCCGAAAAAGTAGTTTAATTTTCAACTGATTAAAAATTAACA